TTATATTATTATTGTATTACACATGTTAATCAATATAGATTTATATTTAATATTTTAAATTTAATTCAACCATGCATACTGCACTATTTATTTTATTGAGTATTGGATGTAATACTCTTAAGTAAATAAGAATTTTTTTATTATGATGATTTACTCAATTTAAATAAACACACACAAAAGCCATGAGTCATGATCATTCAGAATGAATTTAATATCCATTGCAATGTCAAGTGTTTAAACATTACAAGAAAAATTTTCTTTAAAAATTTTCATTGGATGGACTCGAAAGAGAAAAAAAAAAAAAAAAGATTGAAAACTTTGTTCATAAGATCGTGTTTTAGAATTTGAGGCAAAAGTTTTGTTACGACCGAAACTATCATAAGGCTCCTTATCCTTTTGGATGCATATTTATTTCACAAAATGCATGCTACTACATAGCAACCTAATTAACTAGCAACACATAAATTTCTAGTAATAGGATTCAATAATTGAAATAGAACCCGTTTGAGAAACAAGATAAAAATATGGAAAAGTAAAAAATACAACTAGATTTGATAAATCAGAATTAAACAAAAAAATATTATCCTCTCAGCATGTGTCTCAATAAATACAATAATCAATCACATATTACCAAATGCGGAGTTGATGATGTTTGTATGGAGAAAAAGTCAACGTAAGAACCACATATGGCAAGTAGAGCGCTTCCATTGATGTATGATAAAATTCATTTATCATCATGTCATCTTTCTTTAATGCAGCTGTGTGCAGTGCAGTTTGTAATGGATAACATAAAGGACTCATCCATACTTCATTTCCAGTTGCGGTGTCGAAGGATAAAGACGCCATCAATCTGTCATGCACCTTCAAATGTCACATTAGGTCAGCATATCATTTTCAGCTTTTTTAGAGCAAATAATATTATCTTACTAATTTACATTTAAAATATATTAGACATGTGATTAAAAAATCAGTTATGCTCCACGCATGCCTAAATGTGTGATTCTACCATTTTTTCCACAATAGGTGCCACCAAGGGAAAGGATAATATTCTCATAGATTGTTAGATTCAAACTTACTCTGTCGTTCTTTTTTCTTCTCACAAAAGAAATTCATATAAGGAAAACATAGAAAAACATAGGTTTAAGTTTTCCTATTTCAATAGAAGAGTGATAGTTCAATACAGCATTGTAAAGAAAACTGAATATTAGACAACATAGCATCGCATATGGCTATACAGTAATTTATATTGTCGAGATACAATTTAAGTCAAAGATTCCGAGAAAGACCAAAATAAAAATACCTTATTTTCTTTTAAAAGCTTTAAGAAATCTTTGAAAAACCACTGAGATACACATAAATTTGCATCTTTCTTCATGTAAGGACCAGAAATAACTTCTTGTTACTGAATAATAGGAAAATAAAGAAATATGTATCCAGGACAAAATATCAAATTAAATGAACTGACATACCTATCAACAAAACTAACTTCAGGGACTCTGTGAGGCACTTTCTTAGTTTCCTGCTTTTTTCTGGATTTTGTCCTTCCAGGAATGACCAAACCACATTTCTGTGAAATTGAAAACAATCTTAAGATGGCTGTATGCTCAACCAAAAATAGTAAACTTTATGATTAAATATGAAAGGCGCTCAACATAGTATAATTACAACAGTGAGTTAAAAATGTATAGATAAAATATTCTTAACATAGTCATGAAATCATGACTGTGACCTTAATGCATGTGACATAAAGAATGCCATACATATGGAAATAACTATATTTCCCATAATGTAATATAAGCTATATAATGTTAGCATTTACTGAACCCTGTCCCACCTTGTTTCATTAATAAACTTTGAATTGCAAACACAACAACCAAGTAAATGAAAGGGAGAGAAATGAGAGACAAATCAAGAATTGCATGCCAAAAGCAACATGGAAGATAAAGAAGAAAAAGTAAAGTAGAAGCAAACAATAGTTAAAAAATACTGGACAATAGGGTTTTCTGGTCCAAACATCAAGACAAGAAGAGAGAAATAGAGCCTGAAGCAGACCTTGCACGCGTTGCATATGAACTTTCTTCAAAAGGTAAGACAAGCTCACCACTAAGCTACCTGAAAGACTGGGAGAAAAAACATTTATCATGTTTCTCAATCAAAATAAGAAACGCTCTTAATGCAATCAAAATTAGAATAAAATAATTAAGCTTTCTAGTACAAATTATCCAAATCAAATACCAACCTAATTTGTCCAAAAGGCCATACACAGCTTGATTATATGGTGTATCCAACCATACAAGTACTATGATCATTAAATTCTGAATCAGCTGCATTCAGATGGAGACATCTGTTTGAGATCTAAAACGTTTCTGGATCTCCACCGTAAAGCTGAAATTTATAGAAGAGTTGATCCATGATAGCTACTTCGTTTCAGTCCATCAATTCTATGACTTTATTTTAATCATTTTCTCGATTTTCTATGACTTCTACTTTCTGTGATTGCTGTTGATCATTGAATTGCTTTGATACATCTGAACGACCTTCAATTCATCAAGAATGTAGTTGTTTAAATGAGCAAAGTAGAATACAATACTTGGTCTGACGATCCACTGTTCTAATGTTTATGAACAAATGTCATTAAAAAAAACAAAACAAAACAAAATCAAGTAATCAACAGCAATTTGCAGAGACAACAGTAACTAGCAGAATAGAAATCAGGAATTCAACCTGTCTTTAGCATGTTGCAAGAATAATAGAAAAAACAATCTGTCTGCTTAACGACAAGGAAGGTAAAGATCAAAATCACTGGCCTCTTACAATTACAGTTTGCTTGACAATGTATTATTGTCAAGCACTGTAAAAAAGTAGCTACTGTCTCCACCATCAGCAGTAATTCAAGCAAGACCAAATTCTATTAAAGAATATACAAAGGCTCAGCCAGCTCCAAAATGCAAAACCTGGCATAACAATTGAGCTTCATTGTTAAAATTCTAGAAATACTGTGGAGTGATGTTTTCAGGAGTTGTTCTACTATGTTTGGTTCCATATGTTTTGAAGCGAGATAAGATTATGGAAAATACCATTGATTATTCATAACCAAAAAAAAAAAGTATGCAGATGACAAAAGGCTACATTAGATTACCATTGATCAAGAAAGCTTTCACAAGTGGACTAAAATAGCTTATTTCTTGCCACCGGAAGACATAAAGGCAAGCTACAACTGTAATAATTAGTCCAAGTGGGAGCCTCATCCACACTACTTTCGTTAGCTTCAAACATCTTTCTCTGAATTGCCATCACTATGTAAAATAAAATAAAAAATTATATTACAAATAGAGCTCACTCAAGAGTATAGGAAGAAATAGAATTACAAAAATAAAATTAATAAAAGATATAAACCCTTAATTCACATTATTTAAATTACAATACTTTTGGAATAAATAATACTATGAACTATCAAAGAACTGGGAGACTCAATTCAACATTTTACTAGCTCTTTCAACCAAACTGAAAAAAGATTTTTTTATGTAATTACAGTGCATGCACTATATCTGGACAGTAAAATAGTTTATCCAAAGCATCTTAAAACAATAAGCACTCACCTATGATGCCATAGCTTCAAACCTAACACAAAATTCATATTCTTTTGAAGCATGTTGGAGATAAATAGCCCATAAACATTGATCATACAAGCACAGTCAAAGGGAGTTAAAAGAACTAACAAACCCCTTATCACCAAGCATGGAAGAACCCAATCACTAAGGAGGAGTTGAGCAAGGAAACTATATTAAACTAAACCAAACTAACTCAATGGTCGGAACTCTGAGAATTAAGATGGAAACAAGACAGAAAGAATCAAGAGAGCAGAGCAGAACTGTATTATTGAAACAGAGAACAAAAAATATAAAGCAGAATTCTCCCCAAAGGTTTCCCCTTCAGAAAGGATCTCTCCTTTCACTCACTCACAAAATTGTCAACTACACCAAATGCCCTTCCCCCAATATGATTTCCCCTTTTGTCCAACCAAATCTAACAAGTCTAGCTAATGGACCTGTTCTTGTTCAGTGTCCTTATTCAGTACTGACTTCATATCCTAACAGCTGACAAGAAATGCAGATAAAAGATTCTTAAACACGTTCATTACATAATAGAATTAGCAAAACATAAGGATTACCATTTCATGTCCATTCACAAGCATGCTCGTTGAAACCCTACCAGCTAAGAAATAAAAAATATGCGACAAACAGATGAAGCTGCACTGCATACGGCTGCATTAAAGAAAGATGACATGATGGTAAATCAATTTTATCATAAAGCTTGTGATGCAACTTAGAATGCAAAAAACCACAAACATACACCAAAAATGGAAGGCAAATAAAGAAATGTAGAAATAAGGCAGGAGACAAAAATGTAAAAGAAAAACATATGTTTTAAGTTTGAATTTACAATTATGCACACACACGAGGTAGAAACAGCAATAACAATTCATCAGATTTTGAAAAAAAAACTGTTACCGTATAGTCATCTTCTCTAAAATGCCTTACAATCCATGTATTGAATATACAAGTGGGGTTCCTCTTGACAAGAACTGAGTAGCTGGATTCAAAGGAAAGGGGAGATATCAAATCAAATAACTCAAATTGCAGTATACAAAGCTTCCACAGTGATAACTTAATAAATAAACTTCAAGTCCATGTCTAACATATTTTAAATGTAAATTAGTAAGATAATTTTATTTGCTCTAAAAAAAGCTGAAAATGATATGCTGACCTAAAAGATATTTGAAGGTGCATGACAGATTGGTGGTCTTTATCCTTCGACATAGCAACTGGAAATGAAGTATGGTTGGGTCTTTTATGTTATCTATTACAAACTGCAAACTGCACTGCACACTGCTGCATTAAAGAAAGATAACACGATGGTAAATGAATTTTATCATAAAGCGTACGATGCAACTTAGAATGACAAAAAACCACCTGAAAGTAGGAGTTCTGTGATGTTGCTTAATCCACAATGGTTGAATGCGGTATGCGAGAGAGAAGCTTCCGATTTGTGCCCCTCTCAAGCAGAGGCTTTAGCAGTGAACATCCCTTAACAATAAGAGTAAGAAGGAAGTCCGCCAGTCCCTGCAGAGGTACAGATTCAAGCTGATCACAATCCTTGATCTTCAGATACTTAAGAGAAGTAAGGTGTTGAATATGGTCCAGCGATGAAAGCTTCATAAGCCTACTGATGGAGAGTGACTGGAGTTTGGGAGCAGGAAGACATTCAGAGAGGCAGACCAGGTTTGGGCAATCCTTAAGTTTCAAAGTCTGTAGACACTCTGATGAAATTGAGGAGGACTTGAGGCTGCCACAATCTTGGATATGGAGTTCTTGGAGAGAAGTGAAGAAGCTGAATGGAAAAGAGACGAGAGAATCACAGCTAATGAAACATTTTTTGCTTCCGATTTGTGCCCCTCTCAAGCAGAGGCTTTAGCAGTGAACATCCCTTAACAATAAGAGTAAGAAGGGAGTCCGCCAGTCCCTGCAGAGGTACAAATTCCATTATTATTCCACTAATGAAACATTTTTTGCTTCTCATACACTGTGTAATTTGAAATGGTAAATTCTCTAAGGTGACCCAGTCACCAGTCCCTGCAGAGGTACAGATTCAAGCTGATCACAATCCTTGATCTTCAGATACTTAAGAGAAGTAAGGTGTTGAATATGGTCCAGCGATGAAAGCTTCATAAGCCTACTGATGGAGAGTGACTGGAGTTTGGGAGCAGGAAGACATTCAGAGAGGCAGACCAGGTTTGGGCAATCCTTAAGTTTCAAAGTCTGTAGACACTCTGATGAAATTGAGGAGGACTTGAGGCTGCCACAATCTTGGATATGGAGTTCTTGGAGAGAAGTGAAGAAGCTGAATGGAAAAGAGACGAGAGAATCACAGCTAATGAAACATTTTTTGCTTCCGATTTGTGCCCCTCTCAAGCAGAGGCTTTAGCAGTGAACATCCCTTAACAATAAGAGTAAGAAGGGAGTCCGCCAGTCCCTGCAGAGGTACAAATTCCATTATTATTCCACTAATGAAACATTTTTTGCTTCTCATACACTGTGTAATTTGAAATGGTAAATTCTCTAAGGTGACCCAGTCACCAGTCCCTGCAGAGGTACAGATTCAAGCTGATCACAATCCTTGATCTTCAGATACTTAAGAGAAGTAAAGTGTTGAATATGGTCCAGCGATGAAAGCTTCAGAAGTCTACTGATGGAGAGTGACTGGAGTTTGGGAGCAGGAAGACGTTCAGAGAGGCAGACCAGGTTTGGGCAATCCTTAAGTTTCAAAGTTTGTAGACACAAGAAATTGTCCTCTGGTGAAATAGAGGAGGACTTGAGGCTGCGACAATCTTGGATATGGAGTTCTTGGAGAGAAGTGAAGGAGTTGAATGGAAAAGTGACAAGAGAATCACAGCTACTCTTTAAACGTAATTTCTCAAGGGAAGCATATTTGTTCTCAGAATCCCCAATCTGGATTAGTTGCAACTTCCTGCAGTCTGTTAACTCTAGTTCTCTCAACATTGGAACCCTTGGCAGCGAATCCTCTAGGTTTGGACATCCAGAAATCAACAGGTTTCCTAAGGAAACTAGGCAGCGTGGCAGCTTTCCAGTAAGCGAGGGACATCTTTTCAGGTGAAGTTGTACAAGTGAAGGAAATTCTCTACCCTCAACTTCAATCGGCAGCCATTCCTTCCATTGCAGCATATCCTTGAACTTAAGGATTTCCAGTGACTTGAAAGGTTCAATCAGGTTCCCATAGAATTCTGGACCAATCATTTGCAAACTGTTGAATTTTGTTAAGCGCAGCTCCAAAAGAGAAGGCAAATATCCCAAAGATGGAAAGGACGTGCAATTCATGCAGTCTATGAGATCTAAAAACACCAAGTTAGATAACAGACAGTTTCCCAACCAGATGGGAAGGGAACCACCAAAGTTCTTGATAGTGAATTTTTTCGAATATTCATGTGGTTGTAGTAGCTAAAACGAATTATTATGGAATACTAGCAAATTTTATGAAGCTGTGAACTCTTGTTCAACAGACTTTAATCTATTCCAGGTTAAACTGGAAGAGATAACAGAGGGAATAAAGTTTTTAATAGTCTTGGATGATTTAGATAGATTTTTTGACTGAGATATTGTCAAGAAGCCATTTGTTGCAAACAGTGGGAGCAAAATTATTGTGACATCACGCACATTCTCAGCTGCATCTATTTTCGGTGCTTCCCTGACTCATTCTCTCTCTTATCTAGAATACCAAGATTGTTGGAAGTTATTTGTAGATCATGCATTTAAAAATAAAAATCTCAATGCATGTTCAACTTTACAAGAAATAGGACAACGAGTCTGTTAGAAAGTATTGTGGTCTACCAATAGCAATAAAGAAGTTAGGTAGTTTCTTACACTCCTTGTCAATTACTGAAGAATGAGACCGTGTATTGACAAGTAAGTTTTGGGACCTACCAAACATCAATTTGGTTTCAAGTATAATATGTGGTTATAACAATCTGCCTTCTCATCTAAAGCGATGTTTTGCCTGTTGTTCTGTATTCTCCAGGTGATATAAAATTCACAGAAAGTGTTTGATGTGTTTATGGATAGCTGAAAGTCTCATTGTACAGCCAAAAAGTGGTTGATGAAAAAGTTTACTATTAAGAACTTTTCACATTAGTAAGCTTTTCCAAATATTCATGTGATTGTAGTAGATGAAGCACGTCTATCTCATTCTGTGTGTCATGATTCACTGTTGTCCATTTGAATTGCAATTTCACTAGATATCTTTTACTCTCCAAGTTTGTCAGTGAAGCATTTGCAGCATCTATCACATTTTATAAATTTGTAAGTGTAAGTGATCCAACTCACTAATATGAGATCCACTCTCTTTGCCGATAAAAAAATCCGTCCATACCTGGAGAGCTTTCAGTTCATTGAAATTCAAAGACATCTCAGATAATTTAGTTCTATTGATGTCTAAACAGCGCAAATTGACAAGTTTGCACAAGTTAGACAGTAAGACAAGAATAATAAGAAAGTAAAATTGTTTCTAGGTTATACAACGAGCCAGTACAATATGGAAGTTAGGTGATTGAAGTGTAAGAAAAATTTAAATACTGAAGATACTTTAGTTTTCTAATTGAATCTTTCATTATATCTATGTGATAACAAGATAGAGAAAGTGCTTATAGACGTTTCAGCTTGAGCAACAGTTCTGAAACATTGAACAAACTCCTCTGTAAAAGGAGTTACGTGAATGACCGATGATTTGCAAAATACAAAAGTTCTCAGTTGCACAAGTTTTATAGAGTCATCCAATTTCCCATGAATCACGTTCTTGTTTTGTGGGAAGGACACATAATGAGTTTTTACAGATATTTTTTGTTGGAAGTCATCTTCTAGCGTACAAGTAAATTCTCCTACAACACATATTGGGCTAGGTCGTGGACCAGATTAGACATTACAAAACAATCTTTTTTTTTCTACTCGTAGAGAAGACCTCGAAAGTAACTCCTCCTCAATGTACTTGTTTCCAACATCTTCCATTCGCCAAACACTTTTTGACTGTGCAATGAGACCTTTAGTCATCCACAAACATATCAAACACATTTTGTGAAATTTATATCCCTTAGGGAATACATAATAGTAGGCAAAACATATGAGAAAGCAGATTGTTATAACCAAACATCACACTTAGAACCAAATTGATGTTTGGTAAGTCCCAAAACTTACTTGTCAATACGCGGTCTCATTCTTCAGTAACTGACAAAGAGTGTAAGAAACTACCTAACATCTTTGTTGACACTGGTAAACCATAACACTTTCTAATGACTCTTTGTCCTATTTCTTATAAAGTTGAACATGCATTGAAATTTCTATTTTTAAATGTATGATCTACAAATAACATCCAACAATCTTAGTATTCTAGATAAAAGAGATAATGAGTCAAGGAAGCACCAAGAATAGATGAAACTGAGATTGTGCGTGATGTCACAGTAATTTTGCTCCCACTGTTTGCAACAAAAGGCTTCTTGACAATACCTCAGTCAAAAAAATCATCTAAATCATCCAAGACCATTAGAAACCTTATTCTCTCTGTTATCTCTTTTAGTTTAACTTTGAGTAGATTAAAGTCTCTTGTAGAGGAAGAGTTCATACTGACAACTTCATAGATTTTGTTGGTTATCTCACAATAATTCAATCCATCTGAAACATGGACCCACAACTTAGAGAAAAATGTGCCTTCACCTCTTTTTGATTGTATAAAAGCTGAGCAAGAGTGGTCTTGCCAATTCCTGCTATCCCAACAATTGTAACAACAGAAACCCCTTGTTCATCACTTGCATTTGCTGATAGTAAAAAGTCAGTAATATTTTTTACATCTTTCTATCTTCCATATATATGAGATGCATTGACCGACCAGAGAAGACGTAGGCATGGAATATAGAAGCAACTCCTTTCTTACACTCTCCTCTAAACCAAGGAACTCCTTTTATTTTGCTATTGATTCAAGTGCCTCTATTATTTTCTCAATATTAGCATTTACTCCTATGCTGAATGGATTCAGAGAAGAAACAAAACCCAACATCTTGTTCAGTTGAGATTCATTATGTAAAGTCTTAAAAGCAATTTTATCTACAAAGTCTTCTGCATTATAAATTACCTCTTTTAGTTTATCTACCCATTCTTTCACAAATGGGTCAACTACCTCTTTCTCTGTAGCATAAGCAAGAACTGAGTTCACAGACATCAACCACGTTTTCATCTTCTCCAAAAGTGACAGGTCCAGATTATTCTTTCTAAAGAAATCCACCACTTCATGCACTGTGATGAATCCACTTTTTATTATATTTTTACTTGCCTTCTTGGTGCTTCTTGATAGAAAAAAATAAACTTAGATAGTGCAAATAATACAGAAATCACATTTTGAGTAAATATCATAGGTTTATTAATTTTTGGTTAATTTGCATTTAATTACATAGATATAGATTGCAATTTTAATTATCTTGATAATTTTGCAGAGTCCCCAAGTTAATTCTGAGATATCTTGACCCTTGGATGAAAGTTGCCTCCAAAGTAGCCACTTTTAGGAGCAAAAGTGGCAACTACAGCAAGTCTGGGCATTAAAGGTTCCAAAGTAGCAACTTTCAAGTCCAATAGTGGCAACTCTAGAGAGCTCCAGGGACGCCAATTTGGAAGCATTTTGCGTGTGGCCACTATTGCCTTTCATAGTGGCTACGCGCATCCAAAGTTCCCACTTTCAAGTCCAATAGTGGCAACTCCCGAGAATTGACAAACTTACGAGAATTGCGGGTGGACACTTTCAAGGCCCAAAGTGGACACTTTCAAAGGCAAAAGTGGAGACTTTGTTGACTGATGAATCCACTTTTTATTATATTTTTACTTGCTTTTTTTGTGCTTCTTGATAGAAAAAATGGACTTAGATAGTGCAAATAATATAGAAATCACATTTTGAGTAATTATCATAGGTTTATTAATTTTTTATTAATTTGTATTTAATTACATAGATATAGATTGCAATTTTAATTGTCTTAATAATTTTGCAGAGTCCCCAAGTTAATTTTGAAAAATCTTGGTCCTTGATGAAAGTTGCCCCCAAAGTAGCCACTTTTAGGAGCAAAAGTGGCAACTACAGCAAGTCTGGGCATTAAAGGTTCCAAAGTAGCCACTATCAAGCCCAAAAGTGGCAACTCTAGAAGTTCCAGGGACGCCAATTTTGAAGCATGATGCGCATGGCTACTATTGTCTTTCAAAGTGGCTACGCGTATCCAAAGTTCCCACTTTCAAGACCAATAGTGGCAACTCCAGAAGCTCCAGGACGTTAATTTTGAAGCATTTCTGCGCGTGGACACTATTGGCTCTCATAATAGCCACGCGCACCAAAGTAGCCACTTTCAGCACAAAAAGTGGCAACTCCAAAGAAGTGGCAAACCTTTCATTCTACGCATGGACACTTTCAAGGCCCAAAGTGGACACTTTCAAAGGCAAAAGTGGACACTTTGGTGACATGGCTCCCACTATAAATAGATTTTAGGAATTAGGGTACGGGACTTTTGACACTTTACACATTTTTTTTCCTTTGCCAAATTGGGATAATTTCTTACGACATTGGAGTCTTGGGTGACAGCCAAGGGTCCTCTATAGGTTTTAATTTCCAATTTCCCTTTTGATTTTTGTTGAATTTATATTAATGTTGTTTACGTTCTTGCATTTCTTTCTCTCATTTGTGAAGCCCATTCACATGGAGGGCTAAACTTTCTTGTAATTCCTAGTCAATGCATATGAATCTTGAATTTTTGGGATTAATTGCAATACAAATCTTTCTTTCCTTGAATTTATTAACCCCAATCTCTGAATGAAATGGAATTTGCATGAATGGAACATTGCTTAATGAATTCTAATTTACCTAACGAAATTCTAATTCAAAATTGCTTAATTTTGATTAATCCTTGTTGCTTAATCTTAGGGATAGAGATTGGAGCCCATTAAGATGCTTAATTTTAATTGGGATATTAAAATTAGTCTTCGCTTGTTAGATTAACTTAATTCAAGGGAAAGAAAGGGGATTATTGAATCATTTGAAAGAATAATGATAGAACTCATTGATTGACAAGGGATTACTCATTTTAATTGATTGAATTTCATTAATTCACATTTTGTTCTTAATTTAAATCTGGAAATTGACAACCCCCCCCCAATTTACTTGCTTTAAAATCTATGTTTACACTTGTTCAATGTATGTTCCCAACCAAAAATTCCTTGGAGATGACCTAGGATAACACCTTAGTACTGCATTCATTTCTTTGCATATTTGATGAGGATTAACGACAATCTTTTGCATGACG